CTTTTTGGGTTATATACGTATGAGGACCTTTACTTTTCTAATACTATCTTCATCTCATATCTGAGGTTGAAACTAAATAGTGTTATCAAAATGGTATATGAAATATAAGTTTTAAAACAAAAAGAAAAGATTTTGTTTAATATAAAATTCCTCAGATTTCGAGATCGAAGAGTTACAAATACAAAGACTTTCGCAGTTTAGTAATTCCTAGTAAAAGTAGCTAAAAGAAAGAAACCGATGTCTTTGAAATAGTTGGAATATTTCTATCGTCAATATTCAACAATTTAATTACATGATCATTAATGATATCTTTTTCTGTTTGTTAGAACTATTCAATATCTTACGTCGGTGGTTTGGTTTTCATCAGCACAAAGATAAACTCGAATAACAACGACTGAAACACACTGTTTTTTTTTGCTTGTCGCTTTCTTTGTTTTTTTTCTCATCGATGTAATTAGCTTTAGTTTATTATATACTGGAACAAAAGTAAATACTGATGAAAACTTTTTTGTTTAAATATACATGTCTAAGTGAGAGATTTCGGACTAACGAACTTTGATTGCATTTAATAGTTCCATTGGTTCTATGCGAAACAGGTAACAAAAAATCATTATTCATTGCCTATTCGTCAGAAGAATAATTTAATTTGTATGAATTTATTGCATCATTATGACAAGTTGAATAAATAGACTTTATGAAAAGCAGATAATAACGAAGAATTAATGAAAGAAAAAGGTAATTTTAACAAAAAAACGTTTATGAATTAAAACCTCTTGAATGAAAACAACTTGCATGAAATAAATATCGAAATAAACAAACAAATCTTTTTCAAGAAAAAAATTTTTCTTTTTCTTTTCTTATTCGCTCAACTGAAGGGAGGATTATATGAAATAAATGTTGTTAGCGCAATCCCTTGCAGGATTAAAAATGTGAAACACGATGTAGCTGCTGTTGCCAATCCTCGAAAAACTGTTCTTTTTTTTGTGCATATTGGGGTACATTTCTTCATCATAACTTACTTTACATTATAGAGCTTGAACAGAATTATACTCCATATATGCTCCAATCATATGTTAGTTATGCATTATCTCTTATATTTCTTTGAAGTCTTCTATCACAGTCTACGATAACTCCTGGGCCCTGTCTGTCACGGTCTGTTGGATGGGAAGAAGGAGTGCAAATTCCTATTCCTAAATATTGCAACACTGATTTCAGATCATGTTTCACAAAATAAGTTTGTATATTTGTTTGCAATCAGGTGCTTAATCATGTCCACACTTATTCACTATTCAAGAACTTCTGGCAAGTTTCTAGTAAAGGTGTAGATACGTGCGGTGGAGTCTGTGTGTGGACTATGGGTATGGGGTTCTTTTCAGAAGAAGTCACACACCAACACCCTGATATGTACTCAATTACAAGGAAAACGAGTATAATTTGGCGTGTCTTTTATATTTTTGAGAGCATTTCAACGCTTAACATGTTTTCAATCTTGTTGCAAAAAAATACTGGATGTTTTTCGCCATTTAAAATTTTCATGCCGAAAATCTCTACCATGGAGACAAACTTTATACACAATGAGACACTTTTTTTTGTTGAAAACAAATTTTCTAGAAATATGGACGTGTCTTCTTGCAGAAGTACTATTTGCATTTTAAATATAAATACGTTTTTGTTAAAAAGACTCGATTAATGAAAAAAGAAACAAATTGAATTTTTCGTTTCTTTATATTTGCTTCTTATAAAAATTTATCGATGGATTAATATATTTATTTGTCGAATAATATTTTATATTTAGAAAATAAACAAACCAAAAAATTAATGTTATCGTATAATCATTTAATAAAACTCTTTTGACTTTGACATAAATATGTAAATATTTCTCTCTTATTATGATCAAGAATATTCTCATATTTAACTAGACGATTATTTTCACTATTGTTCTATTCATAGAAGAACTAATTCAAATAAAAGCGTTGTCTTTTTTTTTGTCAAAATGATTATAGAGAATAAAAGAACTTCGAAATGTTGAACTAATCAGCTTTAAGTTGATTGTCATTCTTTTGTTAATCTAAATAAAAAATGACGTTTAGCTTTGATTTCACAGATTTACAGGATATATCTATCATGTTCGAGTATTTTTAATATTAGAAATCAACATCATTCATATTGAAATTTCTTATATATATCTATACAATCAGATTTATATTAACATTTCTACAAATTAAATAAATCATCATCATATATTTATAAAAATCGGTAAGATTTCATTTTTTGTTTTGTTATGATTCATTAGATAAATATAAAAAAATAACAGAAGAGTTTTTTTTTTTCGCTATCTATAATATAAATTGAATATATTATGAAAAAAAACATATTAAAAATTTGAGAAAAAAAAATCGAATGAAACGATCATATTCATATACAATAGTTACCTATTAAATCGATTTGTTAGATTCGTTTTATTTCTCTACGATTATTAAATTTGATAAGAGAATTTTAATTAAATATAGATCATTAAAAAATTCGGCAACTTTTTCTTATAGAGTATAAGCATGAGGAAAGCAAACTTCTTCTAAAGACTTAATTGTCTTCTTGTTCGACAACAACAATTTTCAAGTGTAAACCACTTTAAAAAAATCTTGTTAAAAAAAACTTACCGAAGGATGAAAAATCTGAAGAATATGTTTAACTTAAACAATATCTTTCAATATCCGACACATTCATCAATGAGAATAACATTTCATTGATCTATATTGCATTCTGAGTTTGGACTTTTTAGGTATGCTATCTGTCGATCTAAACAATGCGATATACCCTTTCTATTTTCATGAAAATATTCGAATTAAATAAGTAAAAATTCCATAGGATAAAATTTTATTAAAAATTTTATTTTTCCTCTTGAAGTTCAAATGAAATTTTTCTCGTTATGTTTTATAGAAAAAGTCTATTTTTGTTTCATTTAATATACACTTGTATATAGATCAGCAAACTCTTATATTGATGTCGTAGTAGAAATTTAATTCATACAACGACATTGACATTAAATATAGACTTTGACTAAGTTCAATTTATTGATAAAATCTATTTTTTCGAAATTCTTTATTATCTTATGAAAATATTTCATTAGAAATAAAACCTTGAGGAAATATATTTATTGAAAATCTAATATTAATCTATCCTTTTTTGTTTTATAAAACATATGATAATTTGTATATTTAGAATAACTAAAATGGCCATTTTTACTGGTTCATCATATCGCACAATAATACTTATCCTAAGTCTATATTCAATGTGTCATCTAATTGAAGTGGTAGAAGGTCGTTTTCTTTGGGATTTAAGTTTATATTGTATTAATTATTGTTCTCGTAACAATGGTCAAATATCTCCAATAGGCATTTGTTCATGTCATCGTATTGCATCTTATAATCGTCGAATGGCAGCAACAACAGAAGATATTCAAAATAATTATTCGGAACAATCAACTTATAATGATATTCCATAACATTCGACACTAAACATTTTATTTTGAATTTTAAAAATAATTTAACAAAAAATAAAATGTTTTTTTCTCAAAATAAAATATATTATATTTAATGCGGTTGATTGACCAACACATTATTCCACAAAAATATTTAAAAAAAAAACGTTTTTTTTTTTCTTAATGATCTAGATATTCAATTTCAATATTTTTTTCAATGAACTCATATGCATAAAAAAACTTGCTATCATAAATATTCAATAATAATTTAAAAAAAAAGTTCTTATTGAATAATTCTCAAGTTAAATAAATGAAAATAGATCTTTGATATTCATATAGATAGATATAATTGACTGAAACAAATTCAAAAATAATAATTATCTGACAAAGTTTTTCATGGTACATAGATCGATAGATATCTTATTAAGAAAATCATCGAAATAAATCTTAACATTATAATCATAGAAAGTAACATTCAATTAATTAATCGAAAAATATTTTAATTATTTTGGAAAAAAAAAAGTTTATGATTTATCTTCAATAAATAAACAGTTCAATTTAAATATAATTTATTTATTTGTTAAAAATTACTCGATATACAATGATTGAATGAGAGAATATTTCTCTAGATAATATGTTTTTTTTTCATAATAACTATTTATTCAAACAATATTTTCTCTTTTTTTATTTAAATTGATAATCAAATGATATTTATCAAACTAATAAAACAGATTTCAATTGAACAATATTAGATAGATTTATTCATTGAAGAGATAAATTCTATCAATATCATTAGAGAATAAATGGTTAATTTATATTCATAATATGAATATTTCAAATGATTATTATTTTATCTCAGTAATAATACTTTTTAAGATAAACTTTTCTATTTGTAAATTCGTATTGACTCTCTTAATAATGATAACTAAACAGATTTTCCAAATATAAGAAAAAACAAAAAAAACTTTAAATGTATTTAAACAAATCTATTGTTGACAAGTATAATTATGACAACAAACATAAATAGATGATTAGGATAAATAAGATAAACTCGATTGTTTGAAATTTTATTGGAAAAACTCATTCTTTCCAATATCTACGAAGTAAAATATATATGTTCTCAATTGAATCGATTCATTCTTTTTCATACCGATTAAACTAGATCACTTTCTTTTTCTAATTATTTAAAAAAAAATAAAATTTATATAATAAATGGTAAAAAACTTTGTTATGATAGATTGTCAATAAAACTAGTCTAATTAAAGGCTAATGTATTTATCTATAATATCTGATAGGAAATATATTCTTGCTCATTGATTACCAACTTATCTTTCTATGATTTTATTCTCGAAATAAAATTTTCAATATAAATTGTCAACTGAATTAAATCGAATATTTTTTTTCGTTGACTTCTTATGATAGAATATCGATCTTGTGTTTTATTATCAAAGAATACTTTGAAAAAATTTCGAATATTTATCAAATATGTAAAATAAAATTGTTGTTGCATTAACACGGAATAAATAAATAAATTATTAAAAAAGTTAATTAGTCGAATTAGAAAAGAATTAAAATGTGAAAAATGTCCTTGTTAAATATATGTATATATATATATTTATTAATGACATTGTTCATTGAAAAATTTAAACGATATTTTTTGTTGTTGTTGTTGTTCACTATTGCGTCTCTTTCTCTTATGATGTTCTGTGATTATATTTGTTTTTCTTTCTTATATAATAAACATGTTTTTGTTAGTCGGATGAACAGATTTTTAAAATAAGAATTAGCTCAATTAAGATGATCAGTCAGAGTGAAGTTAATCAATTCTCCCATTTATTCGTTTGTTTTTTAATCACATATATCTACTCAATAGAATTAATTAATTCACTGAGATGTCTCGACGATGACATTTTTCCTCTTCTTTACTTAAAATAAATCCTAAGAACTTTTAAGATTTATCATTATATTAACAGACATAAACCCATTGACATATTTGAAGTAAACTTCCTCTAGTTCTACTAGAAATAATTGAATATTAGCTGTTTTTATTTATTTATTCTCTGATTATGATCTTATTATGAACAAGTTTAAATAGATTGATCTTAAATTAACTGAAGAATATTTGAAATCTTTCTAATAACGATATATGATTAACAAAAAATCAATTATTAATTATAAATAAAATCGCACCGATTATTTTCATATGATTTTCTTTGACATTCTCATCATTGATCTTTGTTTTGTTTTTTTCTTCATTGCAATTTTATCATCATTTGCTAAAAAAAAAGAAAACAATTTTTATTCACTGAAATAAATCAATGAATTCTGTTGATTTCTCTTTATAAAATATTAAAATGAAATTTTATTTTTATTGATCTAATTTGATAATCAGTTTATTTTATTAGAATTCATATTAAATTATTATCTATTTATCATATAAATAAAATAAAATAAGAAAAAACAAAAGCAACAAGATCAATTCTACTATATATAAACAAATATTCGGTATTTATCACAGTGAGATAAATATCTTCATCAGTGACATAATAGATCTATTCAAACACATTTTTTAATGAAAATATATTTAGCAAATTAACTCGAGATACAATACTATATTGAATTATATAGAACAATTATATGAAGATTTTATTTATAAATAAAATCATTTTTGTTTTTCTCTCTATATATAGAAATTCAGATGAAAGACTTCTTTTTTTTTTTTGAACAATAAACTTTGATTTATTTTCTCAAATGATTAGTTTTTCAATGATTTATCTTGTTGAAATAAAATAAAATTAAAAAAAATAAACGTAATTGATATTTAAATGAAAACAAATTATATAGAATAATAGTCGGAAGCGTTTAAGATTTTATTAATTAATTATATTTATAATCTTTAATAAAATGTTATTATTTTAAATAAAATGTTTATTGTTCGCAAATATTAATGGCTAATTGAAGACGAGCAGCAAGATCTCCATAATAATAATAAAATGCTTTTATTGTTGAACATTGAGATCCATATGTTGAAGGTATTAAATATGATTCATATTGTTCCATACATTTAACAGAACGTAGAAATTCTCTATTTAAATATAATCAATATCGAACATACGTTTTTTTTTTTTTTCTTCCTAGTTTTATTTCAAGAAAAATAAACTTACAAACATTTTGTTGGATATTTATCATCAAATGAATAATGACATTTATTTAGAATATGTTGACTTAAACGAGATGGATGACAATTATCATCTAAATTTATTTGGTACTTTTTTTTTTTTCTAAAATAATAATAAATAATAATTTACTTTGATTAACTTGACAGGAACTGATAACTAATTTCCAATATATTTTCGAATATTCATATGAATATGGATAATGATCACGAGAACAAACTTGATCAATATCAAATATTGAATAAAGACATTGACGATATGATGAACTTTTATTATAAGCTCTATAATTAAAATATTTTTTATATTTAAATTGATAAAAACAAAAAATGAAAACAGACTGGCAAAGTAGACTTCCTTCCATATAATATGCATTTTCAGGTGATGTTAAATCAATCGTATCATCAATATATTTTTTATAACATTCAAGCATATGCATATTCACCGTATTTTCATCACATTTTTCATTTGTTCGATGTTGACCTATAAATATTGATTTGTTTTTATTGACTATTTATTATAAAAATCAATAATAGTTTAATTTCTCATCGGTTGTTTTTTTCAGTTATTTATTGAAAAAAACTTCTACTTGATAATCAAAAAAAAAAAAGAAACATAATTATTAATTTATTATGTTTTATATGTTCGTTCGATTAATTCGTATATATATAATCAAGTGAAATTTAGTTTTATTTATTGACAATTATATTCAATATGTTTTTATTTTTATCATTTTAAATAAAATAATATAATCAATATTAATAAGATAAAAACAAAAAAAAAAACGATTATCTTTAATAAAAACTTACCATTTATAAGGAGAATATTTAAAATTAATGAGATAAATATAAGAATATTGATAGTTGTTCCAAAAATCATTAGGATTTATTTAACGATAACGATAACGATAACGATATATATCGGAGATTTATAATGATAGAAGATTTTTCTCGATTTCTCTTTCTTTTTTTTTTTCTTGTTCCGATCGTGTTTAAATGGAAAATAAGGAAAAATAAGAAAAAACAAGTCATTCTATTTTCACCAACAAATAACACACTGGCTCAGCGAACAGAAAAAAAAGAAACTCTCTTTTCCGTTTCAATTGTTCATAGAAACAATACGATGATGACTAGCATTAATCGTGATGTAAAACAAAAAAATTTAAAGGCATGTCAATATGAATAAATCTATTTTATCTATTATATTCATTTAGATTTTTAAATAACTATATATCATTATATGTGCACTTTTATTACATTCAAATATCTTATATATAATAATACAAACAAAATAATAATAAGTCTTAGCGATTATTGAAAAAATACCTCTTAGAATTTATTTCCGTTAAAAACGATATTCATACTGTGACATTATTCTCTATGAATAAATAAATAAATAAATATAACAAACGATAGTATATTGTAACAATAAAAATAATTTATTTCAACATCTATATTTATCATATAAACAAATAATAGAAATCAATAGTTAAATTATTGTTTTTATTAAATCCTTGGATAATATCGAAGACCACACACCATATTAGAATTTTCCGAAGAAAATCGACGTTCACCTTATATAAAAGGAATCTAAACTAATGAAGACTCATACTATATGAATATTCATATTAATTAACGAAAAAAACTTCTCTCAAGAGATACATTCCTTAAAAATATTCTAGCTTACAGAAAAAAAAACCAATCTTACTCTTATGGATTTCTATTGTCTTGCTTCATTTTATCAATATAATATTTATTTATCGATATAAAAAAACAATAATCATATAAGGTTTCCGTATCATATATTGAATAAAGCATTTTAATCAGGAAGAAATTATTTCGAATAAAATAATGAAAATATTCAAGATTTAACTGATAATATGTTCTATTTTAAGACTTAATTATAATCATAATCATAAATAGAAAAGGAAAAAAAACAAACGGAAGTTCGATTACCATAAATGTAGGCAGAAATATGGACTGTCATTTTCATTTCATTAATAAGATTAATTATATTCTAGAAAGTATTTTTTTATTATTATCTAATCGAGCAATATTCAATTATTATTTTCAATATTAATATATCATCTATTATCTTTAGATTTTTTTCATAAAATTTCTTTATCAACTTAATATTGATTGATTATTATATTAATAAGAGATTGTTAATATATATATATAAATAAAAAACAATGTTGTTTATTATTATTAAAGTGAATATGTCACCAGAATAATTATTTTCTTTGATTACAGTTTATTCATTTTTGAATTTCCGATTGAGCATAACAGTTCAATCTAGCATATCATCTCAACTTATCAACATATTTTATTTACTATGTATTCTCTATACTCAACTAAATAATCTAAAATTAATAAACACAATAACATACATCTTATTAGAGAGAATAAAATCATTTACAACAAAATTAACTTTTGAAATTTGCTAAGAGAATCAAAACAATGATTAAGTTTTATTTAACAAGTTTTTCAATATTGAATAAATCAAAATATGATTTGCGATTGTATCTTTAATCATTTTTCAATTGGTTTTCTTTGTCAACAACATAAATTAATTCGTATCGATATTTAACATTTGTCAAGGGTTGACAAGATCTTTTTACTATATGTTATTCATTTTTATTTCAGTTTTAAATCTTTAATTGAATATGCATTCGTTTATTTATTTTCAATTTACTTTTATCGAATGACATAGTTTTTTTTTCTTCAAAGAAAATATTCTCAGTGAGAATTATAATTAAGCCTTTTGCGGCTTTCTCCCTCTCTCTCTCTACACATAAATAAGTAGGACGAAGAGGAAGAAGAAACTAAAGATGAATATATGGATTTTCATAGCAACGGATAAAAGGCGCTTTAATTATGACAGTGCTTAGAACATTGGGAAAATTTCAAGATAATCACTCGATAATCTAGCAAGTTCTGCTTTCTAATGCAGCAATATCATCTTATTGAAAGTGTCGCTATCATTATATCGATGATATTGTTTATCTAATTGTATCAGAATAGGATCAACATTAAAAGGTATTTAAACTAGAATTCATAAGGAGAAAACAAACAAGATATTGAAGATCTATCTGACAATAAAAAAGACGTGATTTATTCTAGTATAACGACTGAATAAATATATAGAATAGAAATTCAAAATGATTAAATAATCGAGCGTCAAGATCAACTATAATAATAGTTCTTATTACCAAATATTCATTATTTTTTAAAATAAATTCTTTGAAATATTTCAGACAAAATAGAATAATTATTCAAGATCCCGAGTTGTTGAATTGCATAGAGTTTGCTTCCGGATATAATCTAAATCTTGACCAAATCCTCTGATTTATTTATTAATTCAATTTGACTTAAATATCCGTTTGTATATTCTTGTTTTTTTTTTTAATTTGACAAATTTATTACATAAAACATGTTTTGTTTTTGTTCAACTCTAATTAAATATTCGTACAATTTCTCCATGTTAATATTTAATATGATCAAATTCCAGATCACTTTATCAGGGATGCCACCTCGTCAAGCCAGAAGAGCGGAAACAAAAAGTAAAAAAACGGAAAAAAATTGCGGTAAGCTGTTTTCTATGGGATTTTCGCATTCCTGTGTGTTTTAATAACTTTTTGCTTCTCTCCATGATTCTTCGTTATTCGCAAAACTCCAAAGCACAATAAATGACACATAAAAAAAATGAATATTTTATTAAGCACATCATTCTTTCAATGCAGTTACATTTATTGTTTCAATGAATTTTGGTTTGAAACTATTTTTGAGACAGTAGATGTGTATGCATGTTCGTATGACATTGAAATATTTCAACAAATCTGTATATCTGCAGCGAGTGAATCGATTGATATTCGATTATGGAAATGATTGGATATATGTATCGTTTCAGAATAGAACACAGAACGAATCATATAGACAACAATAGACTGCTAACAAGAGACCTGCATCGGAGTCAGTTTCGGAATCATCTAAATTTCTTGACAATAACTAATTATTAACATCAGAATTTTTGTGCAATTTAAATTTTATTCTCTGATGGGTTTTCTACAAACTGATGTACGTTGAAGGCTCAATCAACGACATATCGAGGTCTACGGACACGAAGAGAAAATTGAAGTGGAAAAACTCGAAGTCGAAGTCGAAGTTGATTCAGACTTTCTTTACGTGTTCGCAGATCGAAATGTGACGTTGATTGGGGCCTTCAATCATGCACCAGTTTGTAGAAAACTTATTAAAGAACAAAATCTACCAAGTACGAAAATTCTGATTTTATAAAAGGATTATTGGCAAGAAATTTAGTTCACTTCGAAACGATTCCAACGTTGATTCTACTGCAAATCTCTACAGTTAACATAATCTATATCGTAGTGACGGATTTTGTTGTTTCAAATTTTCCAATAAAAGAATAAGCTAAAGCTTTTTATATGCAAAAGCAGAAAATTGCGGAACAGCGGAAAAAAAGCGGAAGTTTTCCGTAAAAAGCGGAAGAGGTGGCAATTTTGCACCTTAGTCAACATAGTTTCTTTAAAATATCATTGTAATGATTAACTTTTCGTCAAACTCTTTATTTTACTATTATGTCACTAGATCTTGTTTAGTTATTCTATTTAGATTTGTCATTATACATGAATATTTACTAATAAGAATTCTTATGTAATCAACTACCGAAAAAACGGCTAAATTCGAATAATCTATTAAAGTATTGAAAATGTTTCATTGACATAATAGTAATAGAGTATCCGCTATTGAATAGATTGATGAAAGCAGATAATTATATTCATTGAATATAGAAATTCAATTAATTATTATAGGAAACAAAAAAATCATTGAATAATATTTATCATATGACACGTTTTTTTTCAGTTTTCAGCCAAGTTCTACAAAAGCCTAGGTTTTTTTTTTGAAATATTTGATGAAATCTATAATTAATATCGAATAGAATGAATAAAATTGTGTTTAGATTTGATAGAATGAATTAATAATATTTGGATAATATTCATATAATTAAAATGTAAAATAAATCTGTTTGATATGATGATAAATAGTTGTGTTATCAATGTCAACAATCAATCAAAATGAAAATATCTCAAACAATAATATATTTAAAAAACTAAACTAGATTATTGATTATTTCGATAGAAAATAGTTCGATTTTGATTTAACACAAACGATATATTTAATTAATTGCTAATAGATCATCTTCGAAACTATTTTCATGTTTTTTAACAGAAATTCTATTAAGAATTTTTATTTTCAATTTATTTATATTTTTTTGATTATTTCATATCGATTAAGAATTGACAGTATTAATAGAAATAATTTATCATTTTATATTTATCTTTATTATTTATGATAAATAAGAAAAAGAAACAATTCAAGAATTAAATTGATGATACTAAAAAACAAACAATAACACTGGAATAAATACTCAACATATTGGAATAGATTTTTTCGATAAAATTTTCAAAGATTTTTATAAAAGATCAATTGATAAATATTCCATATATGTATACGAATATAGAAATAAATGAAAATCCTCCACTGATGTTTAACTGCCTTATTCGATTTTATTTTATATTATTGATAAATAAAAATTAAAACAGAAACTTGAAAAAAATCTCGTTGAAAGACAAATTATTTCTATTGTAACTCAAACACCTTTATTTGATGTGTTGCCATTGTGTTCTAGTGACGCTGGTCAAACAATTCATTCGAGAGAATAAAACAATTTAATTGTTCATGGCAACTTTTATTTTGATTTTTGTTTTTCTTTTCTTTCATCAACATACGACTTGCTTTGTTACACTCTCAAATAATATATTCTCTCTCTCTTTATTACTATGACATATTTAATCAAGATATTATTCAAAGTAACATAACATCGTCTTATATCAAGCAAGACAATTAATAAGTTAGATTTAAAAAAATTGTTAAAATTCATTTAAATAAAATAAGAATGATTATTTCAAATCAATTAATTAATTACAATGATATTTGTTCGAATTAATTATTTTGAATATAAATTAGTTAAACAAAAATTTTCGAAATAAATATAGATTAAATTATAATCAAATTTATTTCATATTCATCTTTAGTTATTTTTTATTGAAAATAAATTCGTATCTGGTTTTTATTTATTTTACTAATATCAATTATAATCTTTTACAAATTGTTTCTATGAAGTCATGGCTTTTTTTTTGTAGATTTTCTCAAGAAATTTCTTAGCTACTTTTCTAAACAGTCTTCATATATATCATTTTTTTTGCTTTGAACCTATGATTGTTGAACATAGATGAGACAAGTATTTATCCTGTCACTTTATCTACATATACATATGTATTATCACATATAACGAATAACAATATATTTTTAATTATAATAAAAAATTATAATATGAAAATTCACAATTGAAATCTTAATTATAATAAAAAAAATTTTTCTTTTTATCTTTAATATAAATAAATCTTTAGTTAAATAATTCTTTTTTGACATAATTCATAACAATATCAATGATAGTTTAGTCATGACTAGAATCAATCGCTACATCGATACCAATAGTCAAACAATAATCGATCGATCAACAATACATTATAGAAATGATTAATTATCTCTAAATGAGTCAAGTTGTCAGTGAGCATGAGCATAGCAAAACATCATTGTTACCTCAGAAGACAGTCACTATCAACTTTTCTAATTATTGCTCTTTATGGATTCGAGTTGATAAATTTCTTTTTTGTTTGCCAATCTTATCCAGCTGTTCACTTTCAGCTCGTTAAGCGGATTGTAGTTCTCAACTCATTGGTGACTATAATTAATGGAAAGGGATGGAGAATACACATTTCTTAACTCTTATATTGGATTTTTTAATACAGCCATCACATTTAATAATATTGTCATACAATAAATCAATATCACGATAAACACACGAGAGTTTCAATCATGAATAACATCCATCCATCTATCGATTGACTGATTGAAAACGACATTTTTCTTCTATTGTGTAAGTGGTTATTGTTTATTGTTATTTGTTACAGGTGAAAAATGCAATAGATAAACGAACATAAAACATTTATCTTTAAGATAATAGTAATAATGACTAACAAAAAACGAAAGTGACTCGTCATAAATGCTTACTACTTATTCGATTCATAACAATATTCTTTGACTTTTTTTGTTGTTGCTTTCGGTAAGTTTCAAAAAATGAAAATGAAAGACGATTTTTATGTCATATTGTGTTAATGAAAAAAAATTTGTTTCAGACTCGTACGTCAAACTGTTCAATCTTAAATTGAACATGCAAAAAATGTTCATAGTAATATTTTTTCATGAGCTAAAAAGTAAAAAAGATCAAAATTGGTTCATGTTAGTATATTAAGATGAATCTGTCAAAATCTATTTTTAAAAGATTAATTTGATAAATTATCTCGAGATTAATCTCGAATCGTTTATGTTTTAAAAAAAAAGAATAAGTCAGAAAACATTTTCAATAGTTTTCTTGTTCATATCTAATTTTAAACGAAATTTTTTCATTATTATTTCTATGTTGGTAAATAATATATAATATATATTTTCAATCAATAATGACTGAAAATCATTTCTTCATGTTTTATGTTTAACATCTTGAAATCATTTAACAATATTTTAATGTAATATTGTTTGATGAGTTATATATCATATTATCTGGTTATATAGAAAGTTTCTACACAATCCTATATATATTCAACGTATAACATTATAGAACTAATAATAACATTTCATAAATTCTTCTTTGTTTTTAATTTTCATGAAACATTGATTTTGTTCTTTTGTTATTTAGTCGTTTAAAAATAGAAAATTTCGAAAATCTGCCAAAAAAGATTATTGTGAGAAATTCTATTTTATCCTGAAAGTTTTTTTTTTTTTTTTGTATAAAACAACTTGGTTAATAAAGTAAGAAAACGATACAATTGAGTGTAAATGAGAACATATATTTGACTGTTTAGTTTATTGTAGAAAATGAGTGAGAAAGAACATGTATTAATTGCTAAAACACATGAACAATTTGGCACATGTTTAACGGGTGAAATATTAAAAAATGATTTTCAAAAATTAGGTATTTCACCTGGAATGACATTATTGGTTCATTGTTCGTTATCGAAAATAGGTTGGATATGTGGTGGACCTGTTACTGTTATACAAGTCTTATTAGATTTGTTAGGTCCAGATGGTACACTTATTATGCCATCTCATACGAGTGATAATTCTGATCCAAAATATTGGCAAAATCCACCAGTACCATCGGAATGGTTTGATATTATTCGTAAATCGATGCCAGGATATCAGTCTGATATAACACCAACACGTTATATGGGTTTAGTAGCTGAAACATTTCGAAAATGGCCAGGAGTTTTACGTAGTGAACATCCTCAACATTCAATGATTGCTTTTGGTAAAAAAGCTAAATTAATTATTGATAAACATAATGATTCATGTAGTGAACAATCTCCATTAGCTCGTCTATATGATTGTCAGGATAATGGTTATGTTTTATTATTAGGTGTTAAACATGAAAATAATACATCATTACACTTAGCAGAATATCGTTTTCAAATAAATAATAATTTAGAAAAAAATTTTATAAATGGTGCATCAATTCTAAATCGTCAAACAAATACACGTCAATGGATTGAATGGAACGATTATGATTATACTGCAGAAGATTTTAATCAAATTGGATATGCATTTGATTCAATTGAAGGAAACACAAATATAGGAAATGTTGGACTCGCTCAATCGAGATTAATGAAACAATATCTATTAGTTGACTTTGCTCTTCAATGGATGAATAAAAATAGAATTAAGCAATGAACATGCAATTTTATTTCTTCATTGTTTTTTATTAATCTTAGATGCTTTTTAATTCTCTTTTGATTCATTAATCAGTAAAGTATCTTTTATTCTATTTAGATGATAAGAGTAAATGCAAGATTATTCTTTTTTCATATAAATGCTTATAACTAATAATAGATATATTCATAACGCATGATTTATTGAATTTTCATATCTTATTTTAATGTTGGTATTATCGTTGAATGATTCTTCCTATATAAAAGGTCGAATTCTCTCAATTAGAATCTTACTATTTACAGTCAATTTATAGATATATTCAAAACTAGTCGAGTTCGATAATCAATGAGTATCAACATAATTTTTATCTATTTATATCGAGTACAAGTGAATTAAATAATAGAATTGGCGTTGTTACAAAGAAACACCAATCATATTTCTTAATTCACTTTGAATTAAGTCGTTCTTTTTGTGACCTTACTATTGTCCAGGACAACCCTCTGTTTTATACAGAAAATAAGCACACAAAATGGGTTTGAAATCTGATTGATTCCTTTAATGAAACAATCAGAGAAGGAGCAGACGTACTATTTGCCATTATTATATAGACAATTCACAAGGCTAAAACATAGAAAAACTGAATGACGTAAAAGGTTACACATTGAATCTTGATTAAGTCAAACAATCGTATGCAATATAACTGATCAATTCTGTACTTTTTCACAATAATTGTGAAAGACTATCGATCAATAAATATATTTACACTAAAGTAGACACATATTTTCAGAATTAGAAACAATCTTTAAAATATTCCTCATACGTTTCTCTTCATAGTCTGAAACGATTAATCAAGTCTGTTTTTGAAGACAGTCTAAAATATGAATTAAAAATTACCTTGATAGTTTTCCTATCTCCAATATATATATTAATAAGAAATTTGATTGTTAACAAGAAAAAAACAAATAATTTAAACGAGATGTTTTTTTCATGATTATATTTTATTTTTTAACCAGAAAAATCTATATAATATACAAAATATTATGATAACCAAATTTCTACAGTTTCTCCAGTATTATTGAAGGCAACTTTGTTTTCATCAATAATTTTATTAGGAAATATTTGACGACGTTTTGCAATTAGATAATCATATGAAAAAGGATCATCCAGTAATGTAGTTTGATTATAATTAATTTTCATATAAGACAAATCTTTCAGATGACAAAGAAATATATCAATAACAGATACACAATAATCAAATGAAAATACTGGAAGTTCAATATGAGTCAGTGATGGAAAACGTTCAACAATTTTTGATGCAGAACTTGGAAGAAAATAAATGATATTTTTTATTAATTCGATCGTTTTTATTCGTTTAAAAATTGTGAAAAGAGATGGATTATCAATTATTTTTGATAGAAGTAATAATTGAGTGCTTATTGAAAGATCAATTACATTTGGACATGCTCTAAAACAAAAATAAACAATATTTTATGCTACAATTTTTAGACAGTCTCGTTTTTGACAGTAATACAACACAGGTCTTTCTATGCAAATATAAAAAAACAAAAAAACTTACTGTAGAATAAGTTGAACATCTATCCATCGAGATATATGATTCGTTCTTACAAATTTTATCTCAATTATTTTATCTAGATCAACAAACTGTTTAAGATGAGGAATAATTTTTAATGTATCATTATCATCATTTACTGCACCATAATTAGCTAAAATAATAAAAATACTTTTTTAAAAAAGAAAAACAAATCTTCAAATGAGAAATTCATCTATATCAAACAAAATAAATCAAATATTTTTATTCTTACCAATATTTAATAAATTATGCCACCATGATGTAGATATCATTGGCATTTCTATAAGAAGATTTTTAACTTTTTGAAATAAAGGAGAAGACCAAGTAATCGTTGTTCGTTTATCTGTCATACATATATATAAATCTTCTATAGTTGAATAAAAACGATGATAATCATTTATTATTGATGTTGATCGTACTTGATATGTTCCACAATTAATAAAAGGAATATTTATTATCATTGCGTAACTATTTTGACGATAATTCAATGTATGTAACACGATATGTTCTCCTAGAACCAAAAAAGAATCATTGTGTGTTTCAAATAACCAACGAATTTAGTTGTTTGCAATATTCATCTGTTAATCCATTCAAATATCAATTTCACACTACTCTTTCATCGACAAAGTATATTTTCTAATCACTATTCATTCCTTACTAGATCATTATTTGTCTTTCAATATATATTTTATTTACCTCCTATTTCTTTATGATATTTCCAATAACTAATAATCATATTCCAATTCGAATATTTTCCAACAAAATATTCAAATGAATTGAGAATCAT